AGAGCAAGAACAGGCTGAGCTGCCACGTTTCTGTCGATGCTCTTGGTCCGGTTCCAGTGCAGAGGGAAATATTTCCCTCCAGTGAGGCAAAGCACCATGAAACAGGGGTTTATTACACTTAAGTTTTGTATCTGCTCCAGCTCAACTATTATTTACATATTTTTTTCCACTCGAGGTAGAGAAGGCAGGTGTTTTCAGGCTGCTCTTCACAATTGTGAGGCTAAGAAAGGAATAGTACATGATGTGTTCTATGTGTAATAGAAAGGTATCGGCGGTATTCCCGGGAATTTGGGGGGGTGGGGGGGGAATCACTTATCAGAAGGCTTCGTAGGGCAGAAGGAAAACTGGTGCCTTCCTTTTCAAACCACGCAACACCTTGCACACAGTATTTTTTTTCTAACCAAGCCCCTCCTGTGCCAGTTGCTCACTCTTTCTAGCGGAGCACAGCAGTTAGGAATCCTTCACACGCCTGAAAGGCTTGCTGCTGGTAGAAATAGTGGTACTGGTATTAATTAACAATAATCTCAGAGTGATAAACAGCAGCGGAAATCTTTGTTTAGAACAGAAAATGTAAGAGGGGAAAAAAAACCCAACCCCCAGGTAGTGAAAACAACACGAGCTACGAGGCAGGCAGGTGATGGTGTGGTACCCGAGATGGGTAGCAGGGAAGAAGGACGTTAACCTGAGCTGCAGGAAGCAAACCTGTGTGCCGCCACATCAGTACCATCTCTTCCACATGGATCAGCCCTGCAATTCCCCTCCTTTTGCAGGAAGAGAGGACAAACCGCTTCCCTGCAATATCAGGAGACAGCTGAGCATTTGGTCTGGATTTTCAAAGACCCTTGGAACACCTTTTGTAAAGGGACGACCGGGACCTACCGACACGGAGCACGCTGCTGTTCCCCTTACAGCTCCCTGTCCTGGAGCGTGGAATGACGCCGTGGGTGATGCCTGGCCGCTTTGCTCGCACACCAGGCAGCGGTGAGTGTGTTACTTAACCGTCATTCCTGGGTTCAGCGGTTCCCATCGGGGGGCTCGCTCATGTTTGAGATACAGGGCTGCACTCCGCTTCTCTGGTACAAACCCAGATTCTTACTCACAGCTCTGCAACGGAGTCGTCACTTTACAAATATTTCTGAGGTTCCAACACACCAGAAATAGCTGGTGGGATATTTCTCGGGTTTGGCTGCAGCTGCTTTTCCTTTCCACTAAATGAACATTTTTTTGAGAACACGCAAACATCTTTATACACAAAAAAATCCCTAACAACAGGTCCACCCAACCCTGCTGCTGGGACCACGCTCTCGCCTCCTGCAAATGAGGAGTAACGCTGCAGCACGGGCAGAAGCGGCAGGTTGCTCTAGGCTCTGCAGCGCGGTTTTTGTTCTTCCTACAGAAAAACCTTGAAGATTTCCTCAGGGGCTGAGCCCTGGTAGCACCCCCAGGCTGCAGGTCCTTCTGTGCTGCTGCATAGCACAGTCCTGCTCCTCTCTGCCCACCGTCTTCCCTGTTTGGTTTATCTACATTCAAGGCAGAAAAGGGGGTTTTAATTTTCTTTTTTTTTTTTTTTTCCAGAGGTTTTATCACAATAAGATGATGACACAAACTTAGAAAGCCTGAAGATAATGCCTAGAAATTCAGACATATAGAAAATACACGGTTGAGGTAAATTCTGCTAATGAGCTTTTGCCCCAAATCAGTAGATTTGCAAGCCTGACTGCTGTGGGGTTTAATCTTGCTCTACATTTGGAGCCTGTGCCTGCAATCCTGCTCTCCTGCGTACCACCACCTTCTTACCCAGCACCCGGGGACACCTTTCTGTGATTTGCACGCAACACGCGTGCCTCGTCCTACAGCAGAAAGAAGAAACGGGATCTGTTTTCCTCCATTCTTCAAATCACTCCGATGCTGCCGGAGGAGGGAAGGGGCAGTTTGCAGATGTGACGCTCCCTCGGCACAGCAGCTCCGTCAGCAAGAGGCAAGGGTGCGTGGCACCAGCTTTTTGACCACGGCCGGTGACGATGCTGTCCCCAAGGGCTTGTGCAGGGGGACAGCTCTGGGGTTATTTACTTCTTTGGCCCTCATCAATAAAATCCCTGAAGCAAATCTTAGCTGAGCAAAGAGCTTCATGCCAGCCACGGAGGGAAATATCAAACCCTCAGAAGAGTTTGGAAGAAGTTTGGGCTGGGGTCCGGTCCCCCTCCGCTAACCATGTAAGGCTCATTAACCTTTCTTTGCTCAGTGCTGATGTGGAGGGGGGGAAGTTTTCCTCTGTGCTGAGCCACAGGTGGGAAAGAAGCCATAGGAGTGTGGTAAATAACGTTTAATGGGATGCCAGGGCTTGGAATTTATTCTCCTGTTTGGACTGTGCACGTTTAGAGCTTCACTTAAAACTATACAGTGCAAGGTAGCTGAAAGCGCGAGTGCTGTAGCCAAAGTCAAACGTGCGCACAAATCGCTTTCTCTCCCTGCGTGTGTAACCGTTTTTACGGCTCGGACTTAGAAAAAGCTGATTTCTCAAGTGGATCACTTCTGCGCCTGGAGATCATCGCCGCAGCCGCGTCCTACACAAAACGCACCAAGGGAAGCGATGGAGGCAGAGCAGAGGCACTTCCAAGCCAGCGGTGCAAAGCCTGTTGCAGCACAAGCCAAGCGGACAAACACCAAACTGTATTTCTATAAACACGGTAACGATGCTTACGATTTTACTCGAGGTTCATTAAAGAAATTATATTGATTTAAAGGTTGCTTTCTTTGTGTACATCCCTTGACAAAACAGTAGGCAGCAAACTTTAACATTGGTCCTTTAAGTAAAGGAAAGGTATGTGAAAAGGCAGTTCAACTTTCTTAGAAATGTTTTACTGTTTCTGTCTCATTCCTTGAACTATTCTTGGCATCATAATATGAGACATAATAATGTGACGAACTAAACACTATTCAGGTCAGCAAGAAGCGGGCAGGACGAGGGACTCCGCAACTCGTTATGAAGACCAGGGTCAGGTTGAAGACAGTAAGCTTGGTTTCTTTTTCACGCTGCTGATTTAGTTTACTTCCTGGCTACAAGCATTTTCCTGACTCTTACTTCCAAATATTTTTTTTTTAACCATCTTTCTTCCCTTAGCCACAAAACCATTTCGCTGTACCTTGCCATGTGGCCACAATGAAGGCATTCACAGATAAAACAGGCATATTTAATTAAGAAGCTCCTGTTAGAACAAATTATGGATTGAAACATTTAAGAGAACACACATCAAGAAAACACAATCCCAGTTTTTTGTCTTTACTGCATTTTGAAATGAAATAACGTAATTAAACAATGAAATTGTGAGTAGATAAAACGCCTGAACCACTGTGACTACCAGCTGTTAAGGATAACAGATCTTAGCAACAGCATAGGAAAATGTATTTCAATCAATTTTCACTGACAGCTTTCTACACATCATAAACACATTTTGGAAGGTAAGTATTTCATCATTAGAAATTCTTGTAGTAGTCTATTGTGTATCATAATAGTGTACAGCCTACTATACATCATACATGTTGCACCATACAGCAAGGCCTACTACGTATTATGATAGCGTAGGGATGACTTACCCTGGTGACGAAGTAAATCTGGGAAGAAGGTAACAGGGGTGGAGGGGGAAGGCAGGAGGGAGAGGAAGGATGGAGGGAGTGGGTTGTGGTGGGCACTACAACATCCCAGAAGAGTCAGGCTTTCAGACTAACCTACAAAGCAAGGCTGCGCCTTAAAACCTCCTAGGAAAACTGCACTGAGAACTTAGCCTGGGCTCTACTTCTCCGTTAGAAAAGACAAACCAGTGACAGGACATTTAGAAATTGCTTACGCTGTCTGAGCGGGTTTTTCCAGCTGAAGGAAATAAGCTGGCAGCTCGGCGACACGAATTCAGGGTTGAAAGCACACATACTCTCAGACAGAGCCCTTGTTAAACACAGAAATATACAGAACAGGTGATAAAACATCACTCCTCCTGTTGATTTTAAAATCTGATTTTCCCTGCAGCACTTTCCTGGCTTTGAGGGTGCACGTTCTGCAAGGGGGGTGATGGCATAAGCGACAGCCACGTTGCCACTTGTGGAGAGCACAGACCTCGATCTCTAAGCACACCAGCTACAGGTGTCCTCATCTGAAGCCTCGAGGCTTCCTCTTGCCAAAATATCTCCAGTTTAGGGCTTGGAATTAAGGTTAAGCTGAGACCCTCTGAAAACCACCAGATCAGAGAAGCAGACTTGTCAGTTTTGGGCGCTCTGCTCTGGGTGCCCCTTCCCACACGCACAGCACGTTGCAGTCAGGCCGGACGTCCAACTTGAGAAGCTCCACGTGCAGCACCTGCTGCTATTCTTCACGCTACATTTAAGAAAGTATCTGAGATGGTTTAAAAATCAGGATTATTTTAGCAATGTTAATGGAATTTCCCCAGGAAACAAACTCAGGTCCTTATTTTACAACTTGGCAGAGTTGACCCACAGATCTTTGACATCTACAAAGCACCCAAAAGCTTAAAGCTTGAATTTCCCGTAATCAGGCCCACGCTTGATTTGTTGGCTGCTGTCACCAATAGGTTTCCCTCTAAAACTGGGATTTATTATATTTTTTTTTCCCTCATCCATGCAGCCCTCAGCAACACTGTTTAAGCCACCTCTCCAGAGAATGAGAAACATTCTATTTGTGTATAAATTTTATTCTGAAAACAAAACCCGGCATGTTGCTTTGACAAGTAAGAGGAAAAGGCTACGCAAAATACAGAATAAAATAAAACAAGAAAAAAAGAGGCACTATCTTTTCTTCTTCTTAGTCTAGGACCTGTCTCTGTGTGTACAACATGGAAGGAGTGAAATCAGGGAGTGAACAGGTTTCCATTCTAGGTTTACTGACGTTTTTCTATTTAAACATAAAACAGAACCTAGCAGCAAAATTCAGGCTTGGAGAGCTGCAGTCTCAGCTCAGCTTGTCCTCGGTTTAAACACTAAGAGCAGGCCAGAACTTTGCTGGAAGTGGGACTACAACATTTTTATTTTATTAAACAAAGAAAAGTGACTACAATAAGGGAAGGAAGAACCTAATCCCAATCCTCATTAAAGGGAGAAGTTTACCTCACTATTTCAAGTCTCCTTCCCAACTCCAGCCTGCCTTCCATTCACATCTGCCCAGTTTCTCCTTCAGCCTCTGCTGCTTGCACCAACCTCTTTTTGGATGGATTGTGTCAGGCAGGAATCTCTCTGTCACTTGTACCCAGTTTGCTCTCTAGCTGTTCGACTTACTATTTCTTAAATCAGAGAGGGTGTTTGTGACCAGCACCTCCCTTTAACCCCACAGCCTGGGTAACACCTCCGGTCCCAGTGGCCTCAACAAGTCTCAAACCGATGAACACTGCTGCTGAACTGTTGAATGCAATGCCCTCGTTCCTCACCCCTCCAACCCCCCCTCCCCCATGCTGCGGTCGTTTCAGCTCCCTTCTCTCCCAGCCTCATACGTTACCTCTGCTGCGCAAGAAGACACTTATCTGATTCACTAACCTAGCCGCGTTGGGAAGTGCTTTAGCAGCATCCTTCCTAGCACTGACACGCAGGACAGAAAGACGACCTTTTGTTATTAGCCTAAAATTCCTAGCTGAGCATGAAAACCAATCACAGGGGTTTGTGGTCAGTCAGTCTGGCTATTTTCCCTTTTTGGTCTTTGCAGCTGCGGTGTTGTTGGTCTTGGCTTTCTTCTTTGCCGAGCCCTTGGTCTCTGGCTCTTTGCGCTTGGCTGACGTGATGGAGCCTGTCACCTTGAAGAAGTCGTCCAGCCGGCCCTGCGTGCTGCCCTGCCGGCTTTTGCTCAGCCTCTTGACCCCATTGCGGATCCGCTCTTCATTGAACTGCTTCTCCCCGCACATGAACTGGACAAGCTGCTCTTCATTCGGCTCGGTCCACTTCAGCTCAACAGTGTCGGGGTCAACCACATCTGGCTCTAGAAAAAGCTTCTGGGCCTCTTTGTGCAACCAGTTCTCGGGCAGAGGGTACTTCTTGGTGTCTATCTGCTGAATGATCTTCTCGATGGTTTTGTGCTCCTTGATGAGCTCAACAGCACGCTTGGGCCCAATGCCGCGGATGCTCTCGCAGTAGTCACAGCCCAGGAGGATACACAGATCCACAAACTGCTCCCAGGTCAGGTCTAGGTCCTGCAGAATACGGTTCAGGTGAAACTCCTGGATGGGCAGCTTCTTCGTCTCGCTGGCAGTAAGGTGTCGCATCAGTACGGGACTGCCGAAGGTCAGGCAATCCATATCTTCCGTGGCAGCTGCATAGACCCTCCCAGCCTTCACCAAGGTAGCGCAGCTGGCTTCGGCCTCCCCCGGTGCCTCCACGTAGGGGATGCCCATCAGCGTTAGTAACTTCTTACACTCATCAGTGTGCTGCTGGGTCACCTTGACCAGCCTCTTGCTGTACTTCTCAATGTTGTTCTCCTCTCCGGCCTCCTGAGCTTCTTGCAGGTGTTTCTCAGCCTCAGCCCGGCGCTCAGTCCGCTTTGCCAGCTCCCCTGATTTCAGCTGCGGGGGCTTGCCGTCAAAGACGTAAACTGGCTTGATGCCGTTCTCCACCATGCGAATGGTCCGGTAGAACATGCCCATCAGGTGGCTTGTGGTCTCGCCCTCCTCATTCTGAAGGACTTCAGCTCCCTGCCGCACGGCGATTAGGAACTGGTAGATGCTCATGGAGGCATCTATAGCGACCTTCCGGCCAAAGTAAGACTTGATGTCATTCTCCCGGATAGCACCAGGAGCAACGTCAGCAATAAGCTTGGCCAGGCCATGGATTCCCATCCTGGGGAACAGAAAACGGGATGTTGGGATCAGCCTCTGCACGCACACACACACAGTGCTGGGGGGAGCTAAGGGTTAACAGCTGGGCTGTGGGGGTGGTGTATCACCTAA